TTAATATATTAGTTTCCTAATATACCTCAATTTAATATACTTTGTTATTACAAATATAAATCACTCTATTTATTATTCAATTGTAGTTGGAACATTAAATTAAAAAAAAAAAAACATTTCATCTTCCTTGAGATTTATTCATTTGTACTTATATTGGATGACTTTGGAACGTTAATTACCTTGATTTTTGCATTAAACAACAGCTGCTATCAAGAATAGTTTAATTATGTTGAATATTGCAAGCATAATTTAATTAGCTTGAATATTGATTACATTAATGTAGAGATATATTAGGAAAAATGACAATAAAATTTGTTATTTCAACTATATTAACTAGATATTCTTAATCGGTGTGAAAACAAAAAAAAAGAAAAAAAGAAATAGGACTACGTTTATGGGAGAGAGGAGTATCAGCTTTTAAGCAAGCTAAATGGCATTTCTTTCCATTGATTTTCTGAAGTTTTGGGAAGTCTAGCAAGAAAATTTTAATTTGTAATAGGGTTTTAGGATTGGATAGTAGATTAACATTCTGGAGAGATAAAGAGAACATTGATGATGGAGAAGTAGAGTTGTTGACGTACAAAAATGAGGTCAAATGATTAAATGAGGCCCAATTATTAAGTCAGACTCAATTATGTGGTCCAAGAAATGGAGTCCAGTTAGGAAAATTGAGGAATTGGCCCAAATAAGACCATTGTAAAATATAGTGACAGCCCACGAATAGATGACTATCACCGCCCAAGCTTGCAAAACACCCAGGATCTGAGCGAATAAAGTACCCTATTGTCCCCTAGAACAACGGTCTCACTCTCGCCCAAGCCTTCGAGACGCCCAAGGTCTGGATGAATATCGCGTTTTGTTCAGTTATTGAGCAGCGTTATCATACCCCACAAACCAAAAATCTCGGTTACAAGCGGTTAAATAACAAGAGCACTAACAACAGTTGCTAACGGCAGTTCCTTGACAAGTCAGCCATTACGGAGAAAGTGGGTAGTTATAGAGCACCAAGCAATTTTCAAGCAGTTTTACAAGAAGAAATCGGCAAAGGAGGTTAAAAAGGAAAAGAAGATATAGAAGAAAGGACCCTGAATCAAACACTCTCAATAATTTCAATTCATTTACT